TCCCCTCAGACCCAGGGTCCAGCCCCAGCCCTCCCCCTCAGACCAGGGTCCAGCCCCCAGCCTCCTCCCCAGACCAGGGGTCCGCCCAGCCCTCCCCCTCAGACCCAGGGTCAGCCCTTCCCAGCCCCTCCCCCCTCAGACCCAGGGGTCCAGCCCCAGCCCCCCCCCCCCCAGACCCAGGGGTCCAGCCCCAGCCCCTCCCCCCTCAGACCCAGGGGTCCAGCCCCAGCCCCTCCTCCCTCCGATCCAGGAATCTAGTACCTTCCCCCTACATCTGCTGGGTCACCATCCTCATTGACTCCTTCATCTTGAATCCACAGGAAGGCAGGAGAAGGGACACAGAAGCTTCCTCAGGCTCCGTTCCTGCCATCACGGTCAGTCCTGCCCTCACCCACCCCTGTCCCTGCCCTGTTCTCCCGGCCTGTGCCCTTTTCATATTCCACACTTTCCCCTCCTCTAATGCAAAAGAAAAGTGTCCTGGGCTTGGCAAGGGAAAGGAACCAAAAAGGACCCAGTTCCTGTTCCCATGACATTGTAATGGTCATCAGTACCCATGCCTCTCCTTAGCTAACTTGTTACACATCTCGGCGCCTCAGTTTCCCCTTCTGTACATTGGTGATAATGTCAGCATTTACTACAGAATGAGGGCAAGTATGTGCTGGAACTTTTAAAAGTCATTTAAAAATGTATGTTGTTTATATTTATTTCTTTTATAAAATTTTTATTATAGAAATATTCAAATAAATGCAAAGGTAGGGAGAATAGATTCATAACCCCCCACATACCCACCATGAGGCTTCAATAATTGTCAGCAGTGACTCTTGTTTTACCTGCTAACTTTATTTTACTAATCCCACACATATATCCCAATCTGCACTGGAATATTTTATTTATTTATTTATTTATGTATGTATGTATGTATGTATGATAGAGTCTCTCTTTGCTGCCCAGGCTATAGTGAGTGCCGTGGCGTCAGCCTAGCTCACAGCAACCTCAAACTCCTGGGCTCAAGTGATCCTCCTGCCTCAGCCTCCCAAGGAGCTGGGACTACAGGGATTCGCCACCATGCCCAGCTAATTTTTTCTATATATATTAGTTGGCCAATTAATTTCTTTCTATTTATAGTAGAGACGGGGTCTCGCTCTTGCTCAGGCTGGTTTTGAAGTCCTGACCTCGAGCAATCCACCCACCTCGGCCTCCCAGAGTGCTAGGATTACAGGCGTGAGCCACCGCACCCGGCCTCTTGCATCTCTTTTAATCTCTCTGATAGTTCTCTCTTCCCATTTTTGAAAAAACGCCATTTATTTGTGGAAAAGAATCAAGTCACTTATCCTGTAGATTTTTGCACATTCTGGATTTAGCTGACAGCTTCCTTATTAAGGTTTTATTTTTACTGATGATACATTTTTACCTACGATACATATTGTTATAAACAATGACATACACAGTGTCCAGAAGGTGAAGGTCACTTTCTTCCTCCCTGATCTCACTTCTGGCGTTGAGAAACCTTCAGATCTATATTTATACTTTTCCACGTGCGCTAATCAAACCATATTTTGTGAATTTATTTGTCCCATGAATGAGCACATCACTCCCAACCTGCTTTTGGTTTCCTCAACCATCTGTCCTTCCCTTATTCATTTCAGCCCGTATTTATTGAGTGCCTACTATGTGCTAGGCCCTCGGTTCCAGTGGTGACCCAGATAAAAATCCCCGCCCTTGGGGAAGTGATGTTTAGCGCAGTATTGTCATTTATTAAACTGTCCCTGTGTGCTTCGTCCCCTTCCCGTCCACCCCCTGCTGTCTTTTGTGCGCATGCGCAAGAATGTCTCTGGGATTCGCTCCTAGAATGGGCTTGCGGGCTTGGAGACCCCGACGGCAGCTCGCTCATCCTTGAAACAGCCCCGGGAGGAGGGGGCGGTGGTAACCCCCAAGTGTCAGCACAGGGAACTGGGTTCCGTGGAGGTAACACGGTTTGCTGGTGGAGAGTTCCCGGCCCATCCCTGCTGTCCTCCTGGGTTGGAGCCTGGCTCTGCCACATCCTGGCTGGGTGACTTTGGTGAGTCACTTCCTCTCTAGAAGCCTCAGTTTCCTCATCTGACCAGTGGGGACATTAATGGGCTGTTTTGGAGAGGAAACAAGGGGATCACTGTGACCAGCAGGAACAGAGCCTGACAGGTACTGGAAGCTTCCATACCTGGAGGTGACCTTAGTGCTCTTGTGTGGATCTGGTGGGAGTCCAGGTCCCCGTGGGTGCTCTTTAAACCAGACCTCCCCTGCTGCCGACCCCTTTCTCCTCCTCCTCTATCTGCCCTGCCTCCAACCTGTGACAGTCATCTCCGTTTCTCATCCTTTCTTGCTCTCTGGCCTGGCCACAGTTTCCTAAGCCCTTGATACTCAGCAGGGAACCAACAACATGGGTTCTCCCACCGCCTGCCACTGAGCTTGTCAGACAGGCAGAACCCCACCCCCATCCAAGACCACACCCTGGAATGACCAGATCAGGGTCTAGAGGTTAACAAAATTCCCAGGCGGTCTGCTGGCATGCAGAAGTTTGAGATGAACTTTCCCGAGAGTCAGTTTGACCTTGGGAATCTTACCGTTCTTTGCAGGGATTATTTGGGAAGAATAGGTTCCATCAGGCCAGCCCAGGTTTGGGCTCTCATAAACAGTAGACACTTGTATTTCCTTCTTTCTTGCCCCCCTAACCTTTATGACCAGCTGAGATGACCACGCTGACTGGTGACTCCTGGCTCAGTCAGTTCTTGCTGTGTGACTTTGGCAGAATGACTTAACCTCTCTGAATTTTGGTTTCCACATCTGTAAAATGGGGGTAAATGTACTCAGCCCCCAGGAGAGCTTGAAAGGACAGAGAGATTATACCTAGAAAGTGCTTAGCACAGGACTAAAATCACTGATTCCATCACAATAAGAATAACAACAGTAAGGCTGGGCTTGGTGGCTCACACCTGTAATCCTAGCACTCTGGGAGGCCAAGGCGGGCGGATCACTCGAGGTCAGGAGTTCGAAACCAGCCTGAGCAAGAGCGAGACCCCGTCTGTACTAAAAATAGAAGGAAATTAATTGGCCAACTAATATACATAGAAAAAATTAACTGGAAATGGTGGCACATGCCTGTAGTCCCAGCTACTCGGGAGGCTGAGGCAGGAGGATCGCTTGAGCCCAGGAGTTTGAGGTTGCTGTGAGCTAGGCTGACGCCACGGCACTCGCTCTAGCCTGGGCAACAAAGCAAGACTCTGTCTCAAAAAAAAAAAAAAAAGAATAACAATAGTAATAATGTAAACAGTGCTCTCTTCTATTGATCACTTACCATTTGGTTCCTGTTTTACACACTCAACAGTGAGGACCCCACTTTGGGGACCCTGGCCCAGAGGCCCTCCATTTCTCTGATATGCCTCTGCTGTTGCAGGGCGAGCTCTAGGTCAGGAATACTTGGGTTTGCATCCAGCTCTGCCACCTAGAAGCTCTGTGTGACCTCGGGTGTGTCATTTCATCTCTCTGCACCCCATTTCGCTCATTTGTAAAGTGGGGCTCATGGTAGCTCTGTCCCAAGGGCGGTGGTGAGGCGTCAAGGAGCTGATGGTCATAAGCCCTGGGCAGAGTGTCACAGTCCCTAAACGTGCTGTTGGCTGAACATTCCCCCGAAAGGCTGCAGCGGGCCTCACACGAGAGCTGCTGTGACCGGCTCTCCTGGGGGCGCTCCAGGATGTGGAATCCCCCCCCAACCCCACTTCAACTGCCCCCTCTCTTCCTCCCCAGGCGCCGCCCGCACCCCCACCCCACCCTCCAGGCCCGCGTGTCTTGGATCTCCGGCAGCACCTGGAACGCTGGGGCCACAGCCCGGAAAGCTGCCCGCAAGTGCGGGTGTCGGGGTGCTGCTGCCGCGGACCCCTGGTGAAGATGGGCGGCCGCATCAAGACCTGGAGGAAGCGATGGTTCTGCTTTGACCGCCAAGCCCGCCGCCTGGCCTACTACGCGGGTAAGCCCAGTCTAGCTGCCTGGGCCCCAGGACACTTCCCTCCCCCAACCCGGCAGGCAGCAGGAGGCCTGGCCCCCTGCTCCCTGCTCTTTTAGGCCCATGAATCTGGATCCCCAGCCCTTTCCTCCCTCTGGACTCAGCAGTCCAAGCACCCACTTTCCTGTCCCTCCCCAAGATGCAGGAATCTGGGTCCCTAGCTCCCACCTTCCCCATCACCCAGGAATGCAAATTCCCAGTCCCTTCCTCCTTAAGTCTCCTAGAATTCAACCTCCCAGCTCCAGGCCCCATTTTCCTAAGATACCCAGGAGTCTGAACCTGCATTGTCAGGGCCCCTTCCCCCAGCCCCCCAACAATACCCAGGAGTCCAAGACCCCTTCCCCTTCCCTCTAGGGGATGCAATGATTCTGAAGCTCTCCTCGAGCTCCTCCCGTTATCAGAGACCAAGGCATTCAGCGATGCAGGGGTCCAGCTCCCCACCCCCCAGTCCCCAATCTTGTCCAGTTTCCCAACCAGCATCAGCATTCACTCACCTCCCAACCTTGGTACTTTAGGAACCTTCAGACTCTGTCACCACGTTCCTCACCGGAAACCCAGTCCCAGGACTTGGGCCCAGTGCTCTCTCCCCACCCAGCACGTACAGACACACACTTTTTTTTTTTTGAGACAGTCTTACTTTGTTGCCCAGGCTAGAGTGAGTGCTGTGGCATCAGCCTAGCTCACAGCAACCTCAAACTCCCGGGCTAAAGTGATCCTCCTGCTTCAGCCTCCTGAGTAGCTGGGACTACAGGCATGTGCCACCATGCCCGGCTAATTTTTTCTATATCTATTAGTTGGCCAATTAATTTCTTTCTATTTATAGTAGAGACAGGGTCTCGCTCTTCCTCAGGCTGGTTTTGAACTCCTGACCTCGAGCAATCCACCCACCTTGGCCTCCCAGAGTGCTAGGATTACAGGCGTGAGCCACCGCGCCTGGCCTGATACACATTTCTTACTGGTTCTTTTTCTCCCTTACCTCCCCTGCCAGACAAGGACGAGACCAAGCTCAAAGGTGTCATCTACTTCCAGGCCATTGAGGAAGTCTACTACGACCACTTGCGCTGTGCCTTCAAGGTGAAGCCCCTCAGTGCCACCCCACCCTCTGAGTCCGAGCCCCTTGACCCAGCCTTATCTCATCCCTGACTTGTCCTGGGAAAAGCCACCCACAGCCCCACTGCGAGGGTACTCACCATCCAGCACAGGACACCAACAGGTCATGTCACCGCAGGGACCAAACCTTACGAGCTCAGACTCAGGCTCTCAGCCCCTGTTAATTTTTTTGGAGCAAAAGTTTTAGAGCAAACATTTGGCAAACTCTGATGTCAAACTGGACTAAATGAAATGAGGTCAGAGTCAGCACTGGGGGAGTCTGGGCACATCTGAAGGAGACAGTCAGGCTGCCAGCAGTTGCCAAATGGGAATGGGTCCCCTGGCGTCACGGCTTGTTTATTTTTCCCTGGAGAACTCAGGAATTCAAACATGCATAAAAGTGCTGGGCCAGGAATCTAAATGTTGGCAATTGATACAACCAACTGTGGCTCTCTAGGACTCAGGTTGGAATCCCAGCTGTGTGACAAGGAAAGTGACTTCCCTTCTCCAGACTTAGTTTTCTCGTGTGCAAAATGGGCACACAACCCATTCTGTCAGGGCTATTGAGAGCTAACAAACATAATAGACATAAAGGATTTACTCAACGTGGGGGGTTGACAAGTAGTACTCAATAAGTGGGTTCTAGATACTATCCCCAGGTACCGGGGGACCTAGATTTTGGGGAGGTGTGATTTGAATGTCTATATTTCTAATATAGGGGAAGGTAGGCTGGGAGAAGGGGCCATGGGTCTAACTTTTAAATTTCTCTTGTTCCTAATTTAATGACAGCCTTCTACATTTATTAATGTTAATCACTTCCCTGTGCTCAATCATTTAATCCTTATAACCCAATGAGGTAGGTACCATCATTTAGGAAGACAGGGAAACTGAGGTTCAATCTTAAGTAACTTGCCCAGTGCCATACAGGCAGTAAGTAGCAAGGCTGGATTCGAACCCAGGCTATGGCTGGTATCCCTTGTCTCAACCACTGTCACTCCGCTGCTTATTCCAGAGCCCCAACCCCCGCCTGACGTTCTGCGTCAAAACCTACGAACGCCTGTTCTACATGGTGGCCCCGAGCCCGGAAGCCATGCGCATCTGGATGGACGTCATCGTGACCGCAGCGGATGAAAACCACGCCCCCTGAGCGCCCCGCCCGCTTGGGGGCGGTCCCTGCGAGGCTCCGCCCTCGCACGCTGGCGGCGGCGCTCCGAGGCCCCGCCCACTTCCGGAAAACCCGGGCCCGCCCCTTTGGAACTCTCCCGGGAATTCTGCTGTCGCTGCGGCTCTGCTGGCCCGAGCCCTGGCGTTCTAGGTGGCAGGAGTCTTTCCGCGACGGGATCGCCGGCCCCTGAGGCCCTGCCCGGGGCGGGAGGAAGATTGCAGGGGCGGGAAGGAACTATTTATTGGTGCTCCTGTGATACCGAATTAAATACGGAGGAAGGAAAACAGGGGTTGCTGCTGTGGTTTCCAGCCCAGGCGTCTGGGGCCCCTTCGGGACGTCCAAGTTTCCCCCATCCCTGCCCCGAGGACCCTGGGTCATCCCTGCTGATGCATCCGTGTCCTTTATGCGCTGGGAGCTCCATGAGGCAGAACCAGGGTTGTCCTGGTCACTGCCTTGTCCCCAGCGCCATAGGGCATGTCTCTTTCCATGAAAGTGAAAGAAACACATCGTTTCCCTTTCACCTCTGGGTCTTTGTAGGTACTGTTCCCTTTGCTTAGGCACCTCTCCCTACTGCACCCAGGTTCTACTCATCATTTGGATTTTAGCTCCTGTGTTTTGTCTTTTTCTCCAGGAAGCCCTCCCTGATTGTCCTGGCTGGTCAGATGCTTTCTCTAGGCTTCCCGCCATAGCCCTGACCACTCTGTCCCTGCCTCCCCCATGCCAACCCTGGTCACTCTACCCTGTATTTCTCCCACCACGGCCTTGACTACCAGGGTCATCGCTGCTGAGTCTGTCTCCCTGTCTGGACTGGGAGCTCCAGGAGGGACTGGGGCTGTGTCTGTCACTACTGAGCCCTTGGCACACACAGCAAAGGGCCTAGTGCAGACTGGGTGTGGGGGAAACATCTGGGGGTTGAATAAATTGATGGGAAAGTGATGCTGGGGACGGTTGTCAGCAAGGCAGGCAGAGCTCTGTGGCTGACTTCTTTTCATCCTTTAGGTCTTATCTAAGGAGTCCCCTCCTTCAAGAAGCTCTCCCTGACCCCTAGGCTGGGTCAGATGCCTACTGTGGGCCTGCACAGTCCCCTGGGCTGCCCCACTCTTAAGTTGTCACTCTGGAGACAGCTGCACCCCCCAAAAAACAGTCCCGTTTAGTATCCAGATTTAGTGCTCCAGAAGCCTGGGAGTGCAAACACCCCAATCCCCAGGTCCTCCGGGACTCCAGGGGTCCCCTTGGCCTCCACTTCCAGATGTGAGACACCTGGATTCTTGGATACATTCAGCCCCCAACCCCTCTGCAAAGCAGGCCCTTACTGCATCCGGCTTTGCGGGTATGTGACCAGTGTAGACGACGGCTCCCTGTGCTCAGAAGAGCCCTGCTCCTTTGTCGAATGCTCTGTGGTCACCTTCTGGAAATTCTCAATAATTTTACCTTTGGCAGATGGAAGTGAAGACTGAGGGGACAATGGAGCATGACGGGGAGGATTGGTGGCTCAGCTCACAGGCAGCCCCGCCTCCCCGGGACAAGTTCTCTCTCCCATGCCCTCCCTGCCGCTGGCAGGGGCCTGGTACAGGCACGGGAGGATGGGGGTCGGGGTGCTTGTTCCTCATGGTATCTTGGGGTGGAGCATGGTGGTGGACGGCTGGTGGGAAGGGGAACCCAGCAACCAGGTCACTCAAATTACGGGGCAGTACCTTGAACAGCGCTTTTTCCTGCCTTTCGAATTAGATCCCCACATTTTCATTTTCCGCTGTGCCCTGCAAACGTGGCATTCGGCCCCGCCCCTGACCCCACTCCTTCCCCAACTTGTCCCAGACAGTGTGTCCCAGAGGGGGTGGGTCTGAGACAGGCTGGGCTCACTGGGCTCAGAGCCTGCTCTGCTCCAGGCGACAGGAAACCCAGAGTGGATGTGGCCCCAGCCTTGACTGAGGCCCAGCAGCGTGACCTCCAGTGCTGGGGCCGCCTCCTCACTGGCCACCTCGGAACCGGATTGTGCATCTCTTTGCAGTGAAGCCTGCGCAGGGAGGGGAGCTGGAGGAGAGTTCTCTGGTCCTACGCCAGGTGGGGGTCAGCGCCCAGAATCTAGGCAGGCCCGAGCAAGAGGAGACTCCCCACCCTGGGTCCCACTCCCTCCCAAGACGCTAGTTCTTCCGGTTGGGCCAGTTGGGGTTCCTCCCTGAAACTCTCCCACACAGCTGGAGCCTGCAGGGCCTCCTGCCCCAGAACCACACACAATAACAACAGTGCTGCCACCCTGGGTCCTCGCTCTGTCCCTCAGGAGGTAGGGTTTTCAGCCCCATTTGGCATAGGAGGCAGCCGAAGTCCAGAGAGGGAGATTGAGTTGCCTGAGGTCACACAGCAGGAGGGTGGCAGAGGCAGGATTAAAATTTCAGTCTGTCCAATTCAGAACTTTATAGTGTTTCATTCTGCCACAAAAGACACCCCTTCCTTTATTATAAAAAGGACACCTTGGAGGCTCAGAGAGGGGTGAAGGCACTTACACAGGGTCACATAGAAAACCAGAAGTGAGGGTGAGATTCCAAGGCTGGGAGGCGGGGGCTAGTGCTGAATGACTCTACAAGAAGTCATTCACTTTCTCTCTCTGGGCCTTAGCATGATGCTAAGTGACCCCACCTATGTGACTGAGATGCTTGTCATTGTTGGAAACGGGGGTGCCCGACAGGGTCTGGGGAAGAGATAGTATCTTTATGAGCACAACCGCTATTTATCATCGGACAGCGAGCCAGCACGCTGCCGCGGGGTCTGACTTCTGACTTTGCAACTTCCCTTGCTGCGTGAACTTGGACAAGTACCTTCCCCTCTCGGGGTCTTGTTTCCTCCTCTCTACCCCCTAATTAGGAATTCAAGGGGGGGGGTGTTATAAAAGGGCCAGGCACCTCTTTTGGCATGCAGCTGGAGCTGGAGAAGTGGGGGCTATTATTAGCCACTAATAACAGTAATAATAGTCATCTATTTCACCTAGTATTACTAGTAATAATTGCTAATGCTTTGTAGCACCTGGAACTAGGCCCTATTTTTTAAGCATTTCACATACATTTGACATTAATCCCCCACAACAGCCCTGCATGGCAGGTACTGTTAAGATCCTCATTTTACAGTTGGGGACACTGAAGGACACAGAAGCCAAGGAATTGTCAAAGTTTCCCAGCAGGTGACCAATGTACTCGTGGGCCTAACAGTAGGTTCTCAAGGCAGACTGCCTGGGTTCGAATACCGCCTCCATCACTTCCTAGCTGTGTGGTGCCCTGGGCAAGTTGTTAAGCTTCTCCCTGCCTTGATTTCCCCATTTGTAAATTGACTATCTCAGAAATGACTCAGAGGACTGTTGTGTGTAAAGGGTGTGGAAAAGAGCCGGGCACACGGGAAGCACTGAATACACTTGTGCTTTTGTCATTGTCTTCGTTTATAGAGGCCACTTACTTTGGTCAAGATCACACAGCAGATCAGGGGTTCAAACCCAAGTCCGTCTGGCTCCCAAACTAAGGGTCTTTGCAAAACATCATCTCAGGCCTAAGACCAGTTTCTGGCCCTGGCAAAGAAGCCTTTAGAGACGGCCCTGGATTCAAATCCCAGTTCTGCCACTTCCCAGCCTCTCCCAACCTCAGTTTCCTTATCTGTGAAATGGGGCTTCGTCCTCTCTTTGCAGAGCTGTCATGACAATCAGAGAGGAGTCAAAGAAAGTGCTGAGCACAGAGCTGGTGTTCCATAAATCATACTGCCTTAACCATGCATGAGGACTAAAAGAGACAATTCATGCCCCATGTTCAAAGAAGTTTCTGGCACATAGGAAACGCTGAATACATAGTGTTACTGTCATGATGTGGTTTATAGCAAGAACTATCTGGAATCATCTTGGAAACCTCTCGTTGCCTCTTCCCTCACATTTGATCCACCAGTAATTTCTACCACTTCTTCCTCCTAAAATATTTGAGATCTTTCCACATTTCACCTTTCCTTTCCTACACTCAGGCCAAGTCACATCACCCATTGCCTATGACAATGGTCCCCACCTGCGGTTGAGTGAGTTGCACTTCTTGCTCCTGGCAAGGAGGGAGAATGCACATCCTGGGGTGTGCATGTGGGGTGTCTCAGTAAAGGGTTGTTAGAAAAGACTTATTTTAAGATCTGGGCTCGTGTGTGGCGATTTTGGGGCTGGTGCAAGGAAGTGGGGCTTTGCCCTGGACAGGATACTGTCACGAAGTAGGGCTAATGCTGTGATCAGGTATTTTCATAAATCCTATTTACGAGGTAGGAGAAACCAGGCAAGGTTAAAGTTGCCATATATACATAATATAATATAAGCAGCCACTTATATTAGCCAGGATATGGGGATGCTTAGTCATTTTGTGGTTTGCACAACGATCTTGTTTGTATCTATGTCCAGACCTTATTACAGAGTGGTCCTGATTTTGTCTTGACCCTTCACCGTCACAGCGTGGCCTTGTCGGATGTTAGTGCTCTGTGACATTATTTCTGAACGGTCAGGTGTCAACAGTCTGGTCTCACTGTGTGTGCCACGCCCACTGCCAGTGGTCAGGGGTGACTTTTCTGTCTCTTAGCTGGAAAACTGCCCAGCTCCCTTGCTGGCCTCCCGGCCTTCTCTCTAGCCTCTTCTAGAGTCCTTTTTCTTTTTTATGCAGAGGCCACAGTGACCTGTGTCCTTGTTTTTGTTGAAGAATAACATACATCCAGTGAAGTGCTAAGTGTACACATCTGCACACACGTGTAGCTACCACCCAGATGAAGATAGTGGGGACTCCGCCCTGTCGCTCCTTTGGGGTGGTGCCCTTCTCCCAAAGGTGACACCTGTCCTGATTCCTATCACCACTGGTTAGTTTTGTCTCGAAATTCATATAAATGGAGTTCCACAGTATGATCTGTTTTGCTTACGGCTTCTTTAGCTCATCACCAAGTTTTTGAGACCCATCCATGTTCCTGCATATCCCAGTCTTTGGCTCTTCCCCGTGGCCGTGTGCTATTCCATTGCATGAGTGAACCACGCTTCCTTTTCCCATTCACTTCTCTTTTTTCCTTAGCGGCTGCTGATCCATTCATGCCTTGATGGATATTTGTACTGTTTCTCAATTTGATCATGTTAAGCAGATCTGATCACGTCCCCCAGCTGATTTAGATCCCCTCAATGTCTCTCCAGTCTTCTCGGAATTAGTCCAAATCTCTTCTCAGGGCCTGCAATGCCCTGAACAGTCTGGCCCCCACCTGATCTTCTGCCTCAGTTTCCACGATTGCTCCCTGGGCTTTCTGAGCTCTAGGTACGCTGCTCTCCTCTGGGTGTCTGCATGTCCGTGCTACCCCCCAACCTCTAGGCCTTTGCAGGCACTGCTCCCTCCGGTCTAAATCCTGCATGTCTCTGAGGTCACATCTCAAATTACTTTCTCTGGGAAGCCTTTGCTGACCAGCCCCCACTCCTAGACTCCACACTTTCTTGTAGCTCCCTACACTTATTCCTTCACAGTCCTAGTCTCCGTTGTAAATAACAATTTGTATGATCATTTGAGTGACATCCGTGGCTCCCATCGCACTGTGAGCGGTGCAAAGACAGGCACTGGTTCCGTCTAAGCTCCAGTGTCACCCAGAGCAAAGACAGGCGCACAGTAGATGCTCATTAAACAGTCACTGAATGCGGAATGTTGGCTAGCCCCTGTCTCTCTTTGAGCCCCAGTACTCTCTGTCCCCACCGCGACTCCCCAAACACACACAGACTTTCTCCCATGCACCGTCAGGGAGCCCGGACGCCCGCCCTTTCCTCCCTCCTTAGCAAGCGCATGGGGCAGGGGCTGCGCTCCCTCTGGGTGACGCATCTAGGGGCGGGGCCCCGCCCCACGGCGGACGCTGACTTGGCCCGGTTGGGCAAGGCCAGCGTTGCCCGAGGGTAGGTTACTCATCCTGGGCTCAGGTAAGAGGGCCCGGGCTGGGAGGCGGCACACCCAGGGGGGACGCCGAGGGAGCAGGACGGAGCCATGGACCCCGCCAGGAAAGCAGGTGCCCAGGCAGTGATCTGGGCTACAGGGTGGCTGCTGCTGCTGCCGCTGCTGCTTCACCAAGGTGGGTCTGCGGCCAGGAGGCGGCGGAGGGGACAGAGTGGGGGCTCTGAGGGAGGAGGCGGCCCCAGCCCCCTACAGAAAGGGCTGTGGGAAGGATCTCCCACTCTGTGGGCAGCGAGGACTGGGGCAAAGTTCCCCTGCCCCGGGCGGAGGGGCTATGGGGAGAGTTCTCCCATCCGGGGCAGAGAAGCGTGAGAAGACGTCCTCCCTGCCCTGGCATGAGGGGCTCCGCGGCAGGGATCGGCGACGGTGGGCTCGCGGGGCTGTGGGCAGGAAGCTCCCATCATAGGCGTCAGGGCACGAAGGAAAAGGGTGCAGTGTATCTCGCGTCCCCGGATTCCGGGGAAGGTTTTCCCTACTTCTGCCCTGGAAAAGTGTGTGCAACACGACTGTCTCATCCCGGGGACGGAGGGCGTGGGAAGGACCATTTCTCTGCTGGGGGAGGAGGCTTTGCCCAGATCACTCGGGACTCCGCGCCCACAGGAGCGCAGGCCCTGGAGTGCTACAGCTGCGTGCAGAAGGCGGATGAGGGCTGCTCTCCGCACAAGATGAAGACGGTGAAGTGCGCGCCGGGCGTGGACGTCTGCACAGAGGCCGTGGGGGCGGTGGAGACCAGTGAGTGGGACCCCTGGTCCAGCGCACCCCTCGGGCTCCTGCAGCCCATCCCCGCCTTCTTCCAGTCCTCTCTGAACCCGGCCACACCCCTTTAATGAGGTTCCATCCCCCCTTTCAGCCTGGCCTGGACCCCTCGACACAGCCTGGCCCCTCGGTCCGGGCCTGGCCTTCTCCAGCAGGGACTGGAGGGGTTCCGGGCTGGGACGCGGGCACATCCTATCCACCCTTTCTGCTCCGCCACTGAGACCTCCGTATCCCTGGGTGTCACCCTCTGTCGCCCGGGACGCAGCTCTTAGAGGTTCACACTCTATGACCCCGCCCCTCTGTCCTTCTGCGGTTCTTTCCCCTCGGATCTGTCTTCGCCGGCCCCGCCAGCCAAGCCCAGCCTGTCTGTTCCCGGGTATTGTCCCACTCGAGGCCCCGCCCCAGGCCCCGCCCCTCTGACCCCCACCCCCGCTCTCCACAGTCCACGGACAATTCTCAGTGGCAGTACGAGGTTGCGGTTCGGGACTCCCCGGCAAGAATGACCGCGGACTGGACCTGCACGGGCTTCTGGCCTTCATCCAGCTGCACCAGTGCGCGCAGGACCGCTGCAACTCCAAGCTCAACCTCACCTCGCGCTCGCTCAACCCCGCAGGTCCGTGGGGGCGGGCCCGGGGCGGGGCTACATGCTGGGGGCGGGGCCACGCTCTAAGGGGCGGGGCCAAGAAGCCGCAGGCGGGGCTTCATTGCGGGAGGTTGCGCGCTGGGGGCGGGGCTATGAGCCAGTGGGCGGGGTCACCGAGGGGCGTGGTTATGCCCTGGGGGCGGGGCTAGCGGCTGGGCCGCGGTGCCAGACTCCTCTGACCCCTTCCCTTGCTCGCTGTCCCCCGCAGGCAACGAGAGCGCGTACGAGTCCAACGGCGCCGAGTGCTACAGCTGCGTGGGGCTGAGCCGCGAGGCGTGCCAGGGCACCGCGCCGCCCGTGGTGAGCTGCTACAACGCCGGCGACCGCGTCTACAAAGGCTGCTTTGATGGCAACGTCACCTTGACGGCAGGTGAGCGAGCCCCGGAGCACCGGCCCTGCAGGAATTGTCGTAGCCCTTCTGAGGCGTCCCGGGCGGTGGGGAGCCCTTTACCCATAGGGTCCCCCGCGTCCGACGCATTCTGGGAACTGCAGGCTAAGTGTCTCTCTGGGAGCGCTTCGATCCCAAACTCCGGGCCGCGCAACGCCGCCTGAGCTCCGCCTCCCCGTTTCCCGCCCCCACCCCGCCCCATGCGTGGAAAAATTGTCTTCCCATGGGCCGCACTGTAGCAGCCGAGTGGCAGGCGAGCAACGCAGCTCTGCTCCCGGTCGCTCGCGTCACCGCCTGAGTCCCGCCTCCCCCTCCCGGTCTCCCCAAACCCCCTTCCATGGAAAAATTGTCTCCCATGAAACTGGTCCCTGGTGCCAAAAAGGCTGGGGACCGCTGTTGTAGAGCATCATGGGAAATGCAGTCTCTTCCCCCAATATAGCATTGGGGATATTGCTTTTGTCTCAGAGTTATTTTGGGGGGGAATGCATTTCCATAGAGGACTGCCAGGTACAGAACAGGAGGACATGCCATGGGAAATGTATTTAAGCCTCTAAGCTCCTACCCAGGCACCGAGAGGAATCTAGTTCTGAGCCCTTAAAACTCGAGGGGTCCACACTTGTTCCAGAATGTTAGGAGAGAGGTGGGTCCTGGCCCCTACCTCAGGGAGCCGTGGGAGAAGTTCTTCAAACCCCACCCAGGTGAACTCTGCCAGGTGAACTATGGGAGATGTAGTGACTCTAAGACTGAAGTTTGGTGGGGACATGGGAGGGGGTGAGAGGTGGGGGGCAATGGCGAGAGGGATGTAGGGGAAGGTCGTTCTGCCCTTTGACCTCGTGAGAAGTGTTGTGTCCCAGACCAAGACGTTGTCCCAAGGCACACGTATAGTTCAGCCTGCACGATTTCCCTCTCAAAGCACTATGGGAAATATGGTCCACCACGTGCCAAAGACAGTGTGTCTGTTTCTCAGAGTGGGGCCTGAGTTGAGATTTTTGGATTAATAGATGCAGAACCCCCTCTATCCGTTTTGGGGGTTCTCTGCTCTTGTCTTCCCCTGATGCCCCTAAGTTTCATTCGGACTATGCCAACTTCCCTCCCTCCAACCCCTGACCTATCTGTGTCTCCCTCCTGCAGCTAATGTGACGGTGTCCTTGCCTGTGCGGGGCTGTGTCCAGGATGAGCTATGCACCCGAGATGGGGTGACAGGCCCGGGGTTCCTACTCAGCGGCTCCTGCTGCCAGGGCTCCCGCTGTAACTCTGATCTGCGCAACAAGACCTACTTCTCGTCTAGGATACCACCCCTTGTTCTCGTGCCCGCTCCAAAGGCCACCACTGTGACCTCGACCACTTCTGTCACCACTTCCACCCGGGCGTCAGCTACCTCCACCTCCACCACCAAGCCCACCCCAGCCCCAACCAGCCAGACCGCTGCAAAGGAAGGAGAGCTTGAGGGCTCAGGGAAGGAGGGGTCCAGATTGGCTGGAGGTGCTGTTGTCCACCAGGACCGCAGTAATTTGGGGCAGTATCCCACGAAAGGTGGGAGCCAGCAGACCCCTAATAAAGGCTCTGCGGCTCCCACGGCCGGGTTGGCAGCTCTCTTACTGACCCTGGCCACTGGTGTCCTACTATGAGCTTCTCCACCTGGAAACTTCCGTCTCGCCTACTCCCCTGGCCTTGGACCCCCCTCTTCCCATGACTTCCCTTTCCCGCCACTGGACTGGGCTGGCCCAGCCACTAGTCTTCCGTCCGACGTCTCCCAGTAGCCCCAGCTTCCGCTGCACTGGTTTGCGGCTTCGGGAAATAAAGTTACTGTTGTATATATCCTGCCGGGGTGTTCTAGCTTTCTGAGGGCAGCAACTGTACCCCACTCATCCTGGTCTCCCCCTGGACCCCTCATGACGCCTAGGACAGCAGGAGGCAAGTCAGCTGTCACAGCAAAGGTGGGAATGAGGCTGACAAGCTTGCCTTACTCACTTTCTCAGGCCAGCCTGGAATGGGGGGTGCGTGGCGGGGTGCTGGTCCCCCCATCTTCCCAGGAGTCAGTTCCTCCTCCGTCTTCCTTACTAGACTGTGAGCTCCTCCAGGGCAGGGACTGTGCCTTAGGCCTCTGTGTGATTAGTTTTCTAGCACATAAAGGCTTCAATAAAGACTTAATTACTTTGTATAGCGCCTTAAAGGAGTAATTTCCACCTCATTTCTCACAGTAACCCCTTGAAGCTGAGCTAGGGCGGGCAGGCCTAGGCCTTCAACAGAGTAGAGGAGCTGAGACCTAGAGCCACAGCCCTGGGGGACATGGGGTGGATCTCCCTTAATCACCTGGGGTCTAGCCAGCTTGTGGGTGGTCCCACAAGTGAGGGGGAAATGGGGGAAACCATCAAGCAGCATGGAGGGGTGAGTGGGGCTTTTAGCCATGCTGAGGGGTGCAGGCAAGCCGTGTCTGATCTGGGTGTGCACACTGTCCCCAGACGCCACCCTCCATGCCACCCATCTGGTTTATTTATTTATTTATTTATTTATTTTTAGTGATCATTAGTTTATTATAAAAGAGAGACATGGAAATTATTTACATGATGAAAGATTTCAGAACTCCAGTGGAATGAGCTTCATGTCAATGCCATTTCAATAGTGATTTATTTCAGTCCACATACTTTCCAAGAATGTCACCATCTCTTAATAAGAAATAATCCTTGTCATCTAGAACTACTTTGGTGCCTCCATATTCTGGGAGAAGGACTTTGTCTCCAACTTTCACACTAACTGGTTGAATCTCTCCACCCTTTCCTTTAGAGCCCGATCCAACAGCCACTACTGTTGCTTGCAACACTTTTCCTTGAGATTTTTCTGGAAGCATAATGCCTCCTTTGGTTACAGTTTCGGCTGCACTCCTTTCAAACAATACCCGGTCAAAAAGTGGAAGAAACTTTCTAAATGCTTGTCCTGCCGTGACTCCCGCCGCCGCAGCAGCAAGTACTCTCCCATCTGGTTTATTAAGGATCATTCGGTGGCTTCACCCACTGCATTTGTGTAAAGAGCCTGAGAGTGCTGCTGTTAGTCTCTGTCTGGTGTTGGGGACTCCTCCGGCCCCTCCAGTCGCATGAAGGCCTGGCGGTCCCAGAGGGGAGAAGCCTGGCTTGGGAACAAGGCTTTGAGAATGCTTGATGGGACGGGATCAGATGTAGGGAACAGGGAGATAATAATAGTAATATCGCCAATATCCTATTAATAATGGGGAAGAGTATGAAGCACTAACAACATAACAATAGGAAATAAGGATTATAGTTACAAAGCAGAAGATTAAGGAGAGCATGGGCTCTTACTGTATACTACATGCACTCTAGGCATGTACAGTGTAACATCAGTAATAGTAACTATAGTCATAGAATGTTAGTAAGTCAAGAACGTCCTACCAGATGCCAGGCCTGTGCTATCAGCGTTTGCATCTCTCATCTTGTTTAATTTTTTTTTTTTTTAGTGGCACGTGCGTGTGCGTCGCCAGCTCACACAACCTCAAACTCCTGAGCTCGAGCGATTTCTGACTAGCCTCAGCCTCCCGAGTACTGACTACAGGCTGTGCCATGCCCGGTCATTTTTGTATATAGATTTTAGTGGCCAATTAATTTTTCTGTTTATAGTAGAGATGGGGTCTCACTGTTGCTCAGGCTGGTTGAACTCCTAACTTCGAGCAATCCACCCACCTCGGCTCCCAGAGAGCTAGATTACAGGCGGTGAGCCACC